TATATATATATATATATATTATATACACACACCCCTGAAACAGTTACCACAGTCAAGATAAAAAGCAGGTCCATTGCCCCCAAAGTTTCCTGGGGCTCTTAACTGTCTGCCTTTTAGCTAGAGAGTTTAGTCCATTTATATTTATTGTGTTTACTGTTATAATTGGATTGGTTGTGAATGATAACGATCTCTACTTCACGAGACTGCAGGGAGATCTAAATGGGATGATAGGTAGGAATGCCTGGCATAGTCCCTGGTAACACATGGTAGCCCCCCAACCCCTGCTCCTGCGTCTGCCCCCACCATCATCTAAAAAGCAGGGAGAGGAGCTGGTACCACACCTACTCAACCTCACTGTGTCCAGGTCTTAGTCCTACCTCCTCACAAGACCCCAAGGCCCTTGAGGACAGAGATCCCTCCTTGTTGACCCCCCTACAGTTGTTCACCAACCACTGGGTCCCAGTCTGCTGTCTGCCACCTAACTGTGGGGCCTGGGCAAGTGACTGTGCTATTCCAAGCTTCATTTTCTTATCTCTAAAGTGGAGACAGTGGTAATTCATGTGCCTTTCCTCCAGGGATGACATATGGATCTAACACAGTTGGGGACTCAACTATGTGGACCTGCCATACAGTGTTTTCTACACATGGGAAATAGCGATGTTGTCATTACCGCCCTTGATAACGTTCATTTGTTATTGCACCAGCATTTCCTGTGCCAGCTGGTGTGCCAGGCATGGGGGACACAGACTTGGCCCTGCCCTGGACTTTGCCCCAAGGAATGTTCCAGAAGGTTGTTGGGGGAAGTGGGAGGAGGGGACTTGAGGAGAGCCGAGTCTATGGAGGAAGGCACCTGCTCTGTGAGCTACCCATGTCCCTTTGTTCTGGGGTGGGGCTGTCCCACTCTTAATTTATTGATTTATCTATCTACCTATCCATCTATTTATTTATTTATTTTATGGTTTTATTGTTAAGTAATCTCTACTCCCAACATGGGACTTGAACTCAGGACCCCAAGATCAAGAGTCGCACACTCCCCCGACTGAGTGAGCCAGGTGCCCTAGGTCCCCTCTAAACCTACTTCCTTCCCAGCAACAAAACAAAACAAAAAAACAAGATGCCCTGTAAAGCTGAGGAAATCAAAGAAGTTTGAATGAGGGCCTGAAGTGTGGATGGAATTTGGTTACAAAACCAAAAGGTGGGCAGGCATACCAAGGATTGTCCACAGTCCGGGCAATGGTGGGAAGGTAGGAATGAGCATGGCGCCAGGGAGACTGGAGGTCTGATATACAGGCATGAGGGAGCCCAGGCATATTCTTGAGCTGGGGACTCTCCATGATGGGAGCACTGTATGAGCAGCCAGTGAAAAGGAAGAAATGGTCTCAGGATGGATTGAGGAGCACAGCATGTGTTTGGAGACTGTATGGATTTGCTAAGGATGCTGGAACAAAGTACCACAAACTGGGTGATTTCAAACAAGAGAATTTGTTTTTTCTAATTATTATTATTTTTAAGATTTTATTTATTTGTTTGACAGAGATAAAGACAGTGAGAGAGGGAACACAAGCAGGGGGAGTGGGAGAGGGAGAAGCAGGCTTCCCGCGGAGCAGGGAGCTCGATGCGGGGCTCGATCCCAGGACCCTGGGATCATGACCTGAGCCGAAGGCAGACGCCTAACGACTGAGCCACCCAGGTGCCCCTAAATTATTATTTTTCAAGATTTTATTTATTTATTTATTTATTTGACAGAGAGAGAGAGAGCAAGTAGGGGGAGGGGCAGAGGGAAAGGGAGACGCAAACTCCCTGCTGAGCAGAGACCCTGATGAGGGGCTCGATCCTAGGACCCCAGGATCACAGCCTGAGCTGAAGGCAGATGCTTAACCAACTGAGCCACCCAGGCGCCCCAATTATGATCTCACTGTTCCAGAGGCCAGAAGTCCAAAACCAAAGAGTTGGCAAGGCCGTTTTCCCTCTGAAGGCCCTAGGGGAAGATCTGTTCCAGGCCTTTCCTAGCTTCTGGCAGCCTCCGGTGGTCCTTGGCTTCTGGATATATCGCTCCAGTCCCCCATCTTCACATGGCCTTCCCCCTGTGTCTTCACATCATCCTCCCTCTGTGCATGTCTGTGTGAAAATGTCCCCCTTTTTATAAGGACGCCAGTCATATTGCATTAGGGCCTACCCCAAGACTTCATTTTAACTTGGTTAGATCTAGAAAGACCCTGTTTCCAAATAAGGTCACATTCTGAGGTCCTGGGGGTAGGACTTCAATATATCTTTTTGGGGGGACACTGTCCAACACATAACATGGAGGTTGCAAAGAGGTCAAGACCGACTTCCCTGGGAAAGGCACCCTGGAGCTCGGCAGGCCTCCACTTCCAGTCAGGGCAGCCTCAGACCTCCAGGGCTGGGGGTGTTTGTACCCACCGTTTCTCCAGCGGAGGGCTGGGCCCTACCAGGGGTCCTAGTACCCAGCATAGATGGGCCCTGAAGGGCCTCCCCGAGCATCTATCACATGTAGGCACGCAGGGATTGAGTCTGGACCAGTGAGGAGGAGTCCTACCTGGAACTGTTTCCCTGGGCTGGTTTCACTACACCAGGGATGGGGATGAGGGTCAAGGACGCTCTGTGGCCAACTCCCCACCCCACTACAGCTGTTGGGAGGCCAAGGTGCGAAGGCTGAGTGGCAGGTACAGGTATGGGTCAAACCCTGCTAGAGGGCCGGTGGGCACGGCTTTGCCTCTCTCTGCCTCGTTACCTCCCTGCCTTGGGAAACAGCATGGGCGTAGTTCTCCGGACTCAGTGCCACCTCTGGGGCCAGGTGCCTGGCACACACGAGGATACAGTGGGCCCACAGGCTGAAATCAGCTGCATTTGCTGGGGGGCACTGTTGGAGGGAGGGGAAGAGAAGAGATGCATCCCCAAGGGGCTGGCATGGCCCTCGCAGCCACCCAGGGCCCCCAGCCTGGTCCTGGGGTTGCGCGGGTGGGAGGCGGGCAGGGTTGGGCATGTGCCACCCAGCTGCACTGAGGTTAAAATTACCTTGTGATTTCTCTCTGCTCTGCCGGGTCCCGCCAGAGCTCAGAAGTAAGTCTCTTCCTGGGGGTGAGGGGTGCATGGTGGTCATGGGGCAGGGCACAGGCCCAGGGCAGCTTTCGTGGAGCGCTACCCCTGGCCTCAGGCAGTAGCCAGGGCTTGTATCCACACTGCAGACCTGTGCAGTCTTCACCTAGGCCGGAGGCCAGGGTGGGGGGGGGGGTCCAAGTTCCCCAGGACATCCTGAATCAGGCCGTGTGGACATGGCTAAAAGGAGGACACTGTGGGAGATGGTTTAGCCACCCCTCCAGGCCTTGCCACCTGATGTGTGCTGGGAGGGAACAGGCTGCATGGGGCCCGACCCTAACTCCCACCCCATCCCCCTCTCTGCATGTCTCACAAGGCGACCCCAGGTGGGGTGGGTGCATGAAGGACCCCACTCCCCCTGCAGCCTCCACCCACAACCCCACCCACCCACCTGTCCCCTAGGCTCCGGAGTGTGAAGATTGAGCAGGGGAAGCTGAATGACCAGGCCAACACTCTCGCCGACCTGGCCAAGGTGAGCAGGGTGGGGCTGGGCGGGGTGTCTGCTCAGGCCCCCATGGGAGGAGAAGAACTGAGCCCACCTCCTGCCAGGGAAGGAATAGTGGCGGTGCCTATAGGACAGACAGCTGCCGCAGGCAAGGGATGCAAAGCAGGCAGGGACCAGCCTCCGGGGGAGACAGGCCCTGTCTGCAAGGGTCCGGAGGTTCTGAATATAAGAGAGATGCTAGGAATCTACCCTTGCGTGTTGACCACTTTTTAACTTTGGCAGCCCTTTTATTAAAAAAGAAAAAAAATAGTATCTAATAAAATAGCTTTCATCAGAGTATCTAATTAGTGGGCGAAACTGGTGAAGTGTCCTTTTGTTTTAGGCATATCTACGTACAGGCTCTAAAATTGAAGAGAAAAACGGAATTATTTTGCTATGGATATAAATTCAAATGATAGAATCAGCAGAAAGCTTATTTATGCAGCAATTAAACATCTCTTAGGAAATTAAAGTTGGGGTTGCAAGAGCTAAGACCAGTTTATGTCACAAACTAATCTCTCTGTTGGTTTTATTATCAAGCCTGACCCCATTTCCCACTTTTTATTCATCCACTAAAGATGGGACAGTTGACGCAACTTCAGTCAGGCAGGCTCTTAGAATATTCGTCCCACTATTCCGAGCTCCCTTCTGAGCAGCGGCCTACCTTTCACAAGTAGTTCACGCATGAACTCTGCTCACTGGCTTCATCCCCTAATCAGTTAATTAGTCTGAGGTTCATTTAATATTATCTTTGGAAGATGTTAAGTCCTATTCTCCTTCTTATACCCAGAGCGTTTTGAACTCATTCTTTTCATCATTATCAAGAGAATGCAGTATAATATTAACCTACATAAATTTAATTTGGAAAGAAACATTATAGAGGGGAAAAAAAAGCCATATTGTAGACCCCTGAAGAAATCACTCAGTTGGTAGTAGAAAGAACATAATCCTAAGAGATACAGAAACCCTTGCCAAACTAATTTGATGTCCTATGAGATTATAGCTAGAAATACATATGAAATGCCTTTGAAAAACTCAGGCACTAGTTATTATAATTTGGATTATCCATATCGCTCTTCCTTCCGTTAGCATAGGTGATTGAAGCTTGAATTTTTCAAAGTTATTTAAACCTTGCAAACATGGTAGTAGTATGCCCCTGTCAGAGTACATTTAACAAAGCCTGCTTTGAAGTAAGGCTTTAAATGGATGGGATTATATGGGTTCCTAATTTCTAAAATTTAACAAGGGTAAAATGTTTTCCAGCCTTAAACTTTAATGCACTCCTACCCAAGATTGCTGATTTAATTTGTGTACTCTGACACAAGTACAAGGTGTATTACAAGTTTTGAAGACTTTAAACCTCAGAGAGGCCAGAAAAAAACCATCAGAGGCTGGCTGCCTCCAGATGTTACCCTCTGGCCCTGGGGACTGTGGGTGAGAGGGCCCCCAAGGTGTGTGTTCGCCCTGGGGCTGGGGCGTGTGGGCCAGTCACAAGACATGGTGGGGGTCACCACTGAGGCTCAGGCACGGAGGCTGGAGGGGAGAGGCCAGGGGTGGAACGCAGCAAGGTGCTGTGGTAGGTGCCTCGTCTTGTCCCGCTTCCATGAAGCGAGGGGGTGGGGGCTCTTTCCCCACCTCAGCATCCATCTTCCCGTCTCAGGCCGCGGGGTGCTGAGCCGCTGTCTGCCCCGGGGGGGTCTGGTCAACACCTAGTTGAGGTTAGAGATGGAGGAACGATGTTCTACCGCCACCTGGTGGCAAGATTGGCATTGCACCCAGGTCTGTCTGGAGTGGCCAGCCTTCCCTTCCTGGGCCCATGGGGACAGTGGCAGAACCAGCTCCTGCTTGCTGGGTGGTGGGGAGCAGTCAAGGTGGTGCGGATACCCCATCACCTACTGCAACAGTAATTGTGGCTGCTAGGCTCCCCAGTCTGTGATTGGGTCAGATCCCTGGAATGGTCCCCCCACTGACCCTCTCCCCTCCCCAGTCTACTGTGGGGTGCAGTGGGGCAGTTCACAACTGAGCCTCCTCCCTCTCAACCACATCCCCAGCCTGGAGCAGCGTCAGCCCGGAACCTGCCCCTATCCCCCACCCCCCAAGCTCTGTAGGCCGTGGTTCCCCTGGGTGAAGGCAGCACCCAAGAAGACCACCCTTTGGCTTCATGTGCCTGGTGGCCAGTAAGACCCACCCTTTGGCATCATGTGTCTCGTGGCCAGTTCATCCCCTCAGGGCAGCTCTGGCCACATCCACCCCAGGACCCCCCCCAACCTTCCCCAGGCCTGCTGGCCCCCAGCCTGGCATTCAAGACCTGTCTCTCCTCTTGCCTCTTCTCCTACCTACCATTGCCTGGGGTGCAGCAAGAGACCTGTGGGGTTAAGGTGTCCTCACAGTTGTCTCCCACTTGGGTCCCTATTAGTGGGCTCCCACCAACTGGGGCTGGTCACCCATCTCTCTCTGTGTCTGTCCCTCCCTCTCACTTGGCCTCTCCTTTCTCTCCCACTCTGTCTCTGGCAGACCCAGAATGTCCTGTACGACCTCATGTCCGAGCTGCACGCCCAGCACGAGGAGCTTGAGGCCCGCCTGGCTGCCCTTGAAAGCCGCCTGGATGCACTGGGCACCTCCCTGCAGGCCCTGCCCGGCCTCATCGCCCAAGCCATACGCCCGCCCCCACCACCCCTGCCTCCCCGGCCTGGCCCCGGACCCCTGGACCAGGCAGCCCGGAGCCCCCCATGCCGGTGGCCACCCGTGGCCCCTTCAGACTGCGGGTGACAACCCTGCCCACCACCAGACCCCTCAATCTTGGCCATCGTGTGGCCGCCACCTCCACGCCATCCAGGAAGCCCTGTACAGTGGCGCCTCTTGGAGTTCAAGGAGCCGAAGCTGAGTTGGGCTGAGTGGACCAGGGCCCTCCCCACCCAGACTGTCTGGGCAAAAGACAGGGCCGGACCGCAGGCGAGGGCAGGGGTGGGCCACTGCCCGCTTCCTCCCTGATTGGAGCTGGGGGGGAGCCAGGAGCTTCCTTTGGTCCCCTGGCCCCCCCCCCCCCCCCCCTCCCCCGGCCCCTGGTGGGCATGGAGCAACCGGGAGAGGGGTCCTTGCCAGTTCTGAATAAAGCAGGACCCACCCAGTTGCCTGTTTTGTATAACTATGGGAGCTCATAATCAGAACATGGGAGGTGACCACCTGACTCCTGGGCTCAGAACAAATGTGGGGATTTAGCAGAGCCCGTCCCATGACTATCCTAGCCTGGTAGCCCTCCAAGCCTGAGCTCAGTTGGGTACGCCTGAGGACATCGGCATCAGTCCCAACAGGGGACTGCTGGAGGCAGCAGATCGGGGAGACATCCTTCGCTTCCCATTCCAGCAGCCGACTTGGCTGGAGCACCCAGGGTGGGCCAAGCTCCAGGGGGACCATGGTCCAGTGACGAAGGTGACATGAGTGAGGAGGACCATTCCATCTTCGCTGGACATGTGTTGGACACTTGCCCTACACAGGGGATTTGATGTCAATTACCACAATTCTTCACCAGAACCTGACTAGGGTAGGATGGGGAAACTGAGGGTCAGAGAACTGAAGCCACCTGCCTGGGCTCCAGAACAGGGTGGGGGTTGGAGGGGAGGCAGGATTCACACTCCGGCCCATAGGCCAAAGTGAAGAACCTGGACTTGGGGGAGGGTATAGTGTGATTCCGGGGTTAGAGTGGCCTCAGGGCAGGCTGGAGGGGAAGGTTCTGGACACCAGTAGAATCACAAAGGTCCCTCCAGGCCTTGGGCTCAGTGTGCCGGGGTGAGGCAGGGATGGCAGGCCCTTGGCAGCCGCTGGGCTCCGGGCACAGCAGAGAGATAGAAGCCTGGCTCCTGGGGAGGCTAGTCGGGACCCGGTTGAGAGCCTCAGGCCCTGGCAGCCTCTGATAAAGCCATTAGTCACCTAGTTCAGGTGATAGCTTGGGCGCAAGACCCAGAAGACTGGGGAGGAGCCGGTGGGCTCCAGACCTGCGTTGGGAGTCCTGACTGCCACCGCTGGGTGCTTCTTGGGCAGAGGCTGCCCCCTATGAGAGCCTCAGTTTTCCCATCTGTAAGATCTGTCGAGGAGAACAGGGCACAGTGCCCACCTTCGGGGAGCACCTAGTCCGATGGAGGACGAGGCACAAAAAAACATAGCAGTCACAGACAGCGACCAGAGCCATAAAGAAAGAAGACCAGAGTGTGATTAGGGGACTCTGAGAAGGTGACATTTGGGCATGGGGGTGGGGATGGGGAGATGGGAGAGCCCATGTAGGGAAGGGCGTTCCTAGCAGGGGAACTGTCCGTGCAAAAGCCAGGAGGCAAGCCTTGAGTTTGGTGTGTGTCGAGAACAGCCACGGAGACCAGAGGGTAAGGCCGGGGCGGTGCCGGGTGGGGGGCCACATGAAGCCACCAGATAGCCAGCTGGCTGCTCTGCTCGGGGCCAGCCACATCCACCTCTGACTCAACAGCGCCGACCCTACAAAAACAGGGCCCGCCCCGCTCTGGGGGGTGGGGGGAGGGGTGGCAAAGTCAACAGCGCGGGCACGCGGGCGGCACGTCCCCGGCGGCCGGGGCGCGTCACGGGGGCGGACGCCGAGGACCAGGAAGTCGGCGGCCGACGCGCCGGCCGGGAGCCCCGGGCGCCGGCCGGAGGTCGCTGGGGGCCGGAGGGAGCTCGGGGGCGCCCGGGGCCGCGAGGAAGGGCGCCGAGCCGCCGGAGGGGGGCCGACACGCCCGGCCGCGGCCCGGGGGACGCCCTCCCCGCCGTGCGCCCAGGCCTGCGCCATGCGCCCGGGGGGCGTGCGCAGCTTCGCGCTGGAGCTGGCCCGGGGCCCCGGCGGCGCGTACCGCGGCGGGGAGCGGCTGTGCGGCCGGGTGCTGCTGGAGGCGGCGGCGCCGCTGCGGGTGAGAGCGCTCGAGGTGGCGGCACGCGGCGGGGCGGCGACGCACTGGCTCGAGGGCCGAAGCGTGGGTGTCAACGCTGTGTCCAGCGACTACGCGGCTGCCGAGACGTACTTGCGGCGGCGGCAGCTGCTGCTTCGAGGTGAGCCGCTCGCTCCGCACCGCCCCCGCCAGCCAGGATACCCCCCCCCCCGGGGCCCTCTCCCCAGGTCTGGGCGCTCCTCCCCAGCGTCCTGAGAGTTTCGACTTAGAGGCCTTGTGGCCGGGTGACCCTTCTTAAGAAGTGGAGACCTCCTCCCCAGGGTCTGGACCCTCTCGCCAGGACACACACCCTCCTACCCCCCCGCCCCCAACCAAACCCTCTTTCCCAGGAGCCCCTCTCAGGGTCTGGGCGCCCCACCCTTTCCAAAGCCGGGAAGGCCTCCAGGTAGATGCTATGCGGCGGGACCCCCCACTGTCCGGAGTCTGGGGAACCCCTGGGTAGAGTCAGGACATCCTCCTCTCTGGACCCAAGGATCCCCCTTTAACTCAAGGCCTGGGGTCCCTGATTTCCCAAAGAAGACCCCTACCTCACGTTCTACCCGTGCTTCCTCCCTCAGTTTACCCCTAGTGCTTGCAGAAATGAGTTCAGACCTGGGTGGGGAGTTCTGGTGGTGTTTGCAGGTAGGTTTGCATCCCTGAGAGGGAGGAGACTTGGGGTGGGGTCAGATCAGGCTGAGAGGACTCCCATCTGTCTCCCAGCTCTGAACTTCAGTCCCTCACACTCAGGCCACACAGCCGGTCAGGAGCAGGCCAGGGGTGAGTCTGTGCCTCAGCACTGAGCTGTGTTTGCTGTGTAGGTTGTTGGCTCCCAGGGTTGCCTTGCCACCCCCTCAGCTAAGCCAGACCTCACTATACTCTTCTGTAAAATGGGCACAGGCAGGGCTGTACACAGTAGATCCTTTGCCCACAGCCTTTCAGTCTTTGCGCCTTTGCCCCACAGCCCCAGATGTGGGGACTGTCCCCTTACTAGCTGTGGAAACCCAGGCCTAGAGGGCCCTAGGGCGGGACAGGAAGAGGCCTCGGAGGCACTTCCTTTCCCCTGAGACTTAAGGGAAATTGGTCCCACACCTGGTCCCACTCAACCAGCTGCTTCATTAAGACGCTGGGGTGAAGCTTGCAAAACTGCTGTGTAAACTCGAGTGAGGCCCTGCCTCTCTTTGGGCCTCTGGGGACCCATCTGTGAAAAGGACTCACCACATCCTCTACCTCCTCCTGGGCTTACAGCCTCCAGGGCTCCACTTGGCCCTGGGAGAAGGTACTAGCCCGTCATTTCAATCCGAGTCCCCTCCTCCATGCAGCCCCCCAAGCTGATCGCTGTGTCTACAGCCTCTGTTCCTCCCTTAGGTACTGCTCTGACCCAATGCCCTATGGTCACTCTGACTGCAGGGGACCACGTCCGGTTATGACTGCCCCCCACTGGGAATTCCGAGGCCTCAGGAGGTTCCCAGGGCCATTGAAGGCACCTCAACGGTGGCCTCCAGGGTAGGGGGTAGGTTTGAGCCCCTACGCATCTCGCTGCCACCAGAGGGCGCTGGCGCCCTGCAGACCACGACCAGGAAACCCTTTACTCAGAAACGCTCTTTGAGATTCTTCTGTGAGTGAACTGAGGCCGGAGAGGAGTCATACCATCTCAAGGGCACACTGCAGCCCTGGCCCCTGGGGTTCCTGGGACTCCCCTCCACTTGGCTCTGTGAGCGGACTGGGGCTGGGGGGGGGGTGCCAGGAGCGGGCCCAAGGGATACGCCTAGGGGGCTCGTAGGAGTTTGCTGGCGGCCGCAGGTTGCGACAGGAACATCGGGTGGTGGGTAAAGCTTGGGCAAAAGCGCTGAGGCGTGACCGAGTGGTGACATGTGGGGAGTGGGTTGATGACCTGGGAGCGAGGCTGTCTGGAAGGGGAAGGTGTCCGAGCATAGGCTACACCGCGATTCATGCACAATACTCTGAGGTCGGGGCCGATTTTCTTCCAGCTCTACAAATGACAAACGTGGAAACTTAGGTTCAAGAGGTGGTCACTAGCCCGGGGTCATCCACCTGAGCGGGATTCGAATCACAAGACGGGGGTGCAGCAGGTGCCCAAGCAGAGGGAGGCCCTACCCACTTCCTCCTCCTTCCCGCTTCGCTCAGAGTGGGGAACTGACGCCCAGGCTAGTCCTCGGCTCTCAAGGCCCCGGTCGGGGCTAGGCCATTCCACAGCCTTCCCGCGCGGGGCTGGACATGCCTCGAGTCAGATCTGCAAGTGGTGGCCAGTTGATGATTAAACCTAGTGGCAGAGTGCTCTTGCTGGGTGACCTCAAGCCCGGGGCCCAACTCCGACCCTAAGTTTCCCCCGCTTTACCCCCGGGGTCCGCTAGAGACCGGCTCGGGCCCGCGATGCTTCAGGTTCACGCAGGGGTCCACGAGGGTAGAGGGCAGCTGCAGAGTTTGTTATTTCGTTCCACGCCTGGGCGAAGCCACGCCCTTCGCCGCGCCATTGGTGTATTCCTTTCTGGGGGTGGGGCCCGCGTCTCGCCCCGCCCCGCCCCGCCCGCCGTATAAAGGCAGCGCCGGCGCAGGGCGCATAGGAATTTCTGACCTGGTCGGCAAGTGCGCCTGCGCACCCCGGGCAGGTTCGCGTTCTGAGGCTATAGCCTCGGCACCTCGCGCCGCCGCGTCGCGGGTTCGAGGCCAGGGTCTGTGCGTCGCGGGTTCGCATCCCGGGCGCGATGCTGTTCGACAAGGTGAAGGTGTTCGCGGTGCAGCTGGATGGCGCGAGCGCGGGCGCCGAGCCGGTTTTCAGCGGCGGGCAGGCCGTTGCCGGCCGGGTGCTGCTGGAGCTGGCGGGCCCGGCGCGCGTGGGCGCCCTGAAGCTGCGCGCGCGGGGCCGCGCCCATGTGCACTGGACCGAGTCGCGCAGCGCGGGCTCGAGCACCGCGTACACGCAGAGCTACAGCGAACGTGTGGAGGTCGTGAGCCACCGTGCCACGCTACTCGCTCCAGGTACCGGCCGGCCACCCCGACGCGGCGCACGTGCTGCGCGCTCCTGGAACTCGGAGCGGCCGCTGAGCCTCCCCCTCTTGCTCCTACCTGCAGACACGGGAGAAACCACGACGCTGCCTCCCGGGCGCCACGAGTTCCCCTTCAGCTTCCAGCTGCCTCCGTAAGTCCGGCATCTGGGGCGCGGGATTGTAGGGGAATCTCTAAGCCCGCAGCTCCTTTCCTGTTTAGGTCTCCATTGCTGGGTTTCTGGGGACCATCTGGACCCCAAGACTGCCCCCCCGGGGGGGCCTTCAGTGTCTCTGTCTCTCATTCTCCTAAGTCTCTGGGACCACCCCCCACCTGCGTGTCTGTGTTTTTCTCCCCCTTGAAGTCCCTTCTTTCCACCCCGCAGGACACTGGTGACGTCATTCGAGGGTAAGCATGGCAGTGTCCGATACTGCATCAAGGCCACCCTGCACCGGCCCTGGGTCCCTGCCCGCCGGGCAAGGAAGGTATTTACTGTCATTGAGCCGGTGGACATCAACACGCCTGCCCTGCTGGTGAGTGGCTGCTCCCGGGGCAGATGAGTTGAGAGAGCTTTGTAGGTGGGGGCTTGGCTGCTGGGTGACCCCAACAGGTTCCTCACCCCTTTGCTTCCTGCACAAAGTGGGAATCACAGCTGGGCCCTGGCAGGGCGGGGGCAGGCGTGGGAATGCTTTTGGAGTCGGGCGGAGCTGGGTGCAGATCCTGCCTGTACCAATTTGGGTGTGTGGCTCTGGGCAAGTGTCTCACTCTCTCTGAGCCTCAAAGGCTTCATTTGTGAAATAGGGGACAGCCAGGGTTTGTGATAATAATGGCTTTTTGAGGACTTATTACACGCTAAGTAATTAGTTTGTTCACTTTATCTTCAGCTTTATGAAATTGGTTTTGTCTGTGGATTTATTTTCACAGACGGTACCTGGTAGTTAAGAAAAAACCAGGAACCCTGCCCCCCCCCCCCAATCCTCCCTCAGCGGGGGGTGGTTTGGAAGCTCCAAGGGATCTGTGGTTTGCACAAAGTAACCTGTTTGTATGCCTCTCCTCCGCCCCCCAGGCCCCTCAGGCTGGAGCTCTGGAGAAGGTCGCCCGATCCTGGTACAGCAGCCGTGGTGTCGTCTCCCTCTCCGCCAAAATCGACCGAAAGGGTTACACACCAGGTACCAGGCAGGCGGGGCTGGATGGGGGAGAGGGCCGACCTCCAGGCCGCAGACGGGGAATCTGATGCCCCCCTGCACCCCACCACAGGTGAGGTCATCCCCGTCTTCGCGGAGATCGACAATGGCTCCACGCGCCCGGTGCTTCCTCGGGCAGCCGTGGTCCAGACGCAGACCTTCATGGCTCGAGGTGCCCGCAAGCAGAAACGAGCAGTGGTGGCCAGTCTCGCGGGCGAGCCTGTGGGCCCCGGGCGGCGGGCGCTGTGGCAGGGCCGGGCGCTGCGGATCCCCCCTGTGGGTCCTTCCATCCTGCACTGCCGGGTACTGCACGTGGACTACTCCCTCAAGGTAGCGTCTCCCGTTGGTCCGAGGAGGGCAGAGTGGCTGCATCTGCCCAGTCCCCCCAAGGCTGCCTGGGCGCTCTCCCTCATGGCTCATTCCCCCCAGGTCTGCGTGGACATCCCCGGCACGTCCAAGTTGCTGCTGGAGCTGCCGCTGGTCATCGGCACCATTCCCCTGCACCCTTTCGGGAGCCGCTCATCCAGCGTGGGCAGCCATGCCAGCTTCCTGCTGGACTGGGGGCTGGGAGCCCTGCCAGAGCGGCCGGAGGGTGAGCTCCCCGTCCTGCTGCAGGGGCTGGGTGGGCAGAGAGGCGGCTGCTGGGTGGACTCTTCCTCCCCCCAGCCTCAGCGCCCCTATCTGTAAAAGAGCACAGTGGTGATTACATAGGCAGCCACAGGTCCTGCCAGAATCTCAGCCTCAGGGCCTGCAGCCCCAGAATCAGCCCAAGCTGGCTCCTGACCATGGTCCCCGATTCTGAGGCTCCTCTCCTCCTCCGGCCTCACCCACCCCATCTCTCTCACTTGCAGCCCCTCCCGAGTACTCAGAAGTGGTGGCAGACGGGGAGGTGGCAGCCGCGGGGCAGAGCCCCTCTCCACCACTGCAGGACACCGACATGAGCCTCGAAGGCCCCTTCTTGGCCTATATCCAGGAATTCCGCTACCGCCCGCCACCCCTGTACTCCGAGGTGAGTGGGGGGGGGTCCCAGAAGCCCCCATGCCTCTCCAAGCCCTGGGAGCCCAGGTGGGGGTGGGACTCAGATGAGTTTGGGGCCTGAGCCCGCCTTGCTCCCCAGTCTGCTCCACACATTGCCCCCCGCCTTGGCTGAGTGTGGGAGTTAGAGATAAGCAGGGCAGCGGAGGGGTGTTTCTGAGCCTCTGGTGCCCCCCCGAGACTGGATGGGACTGTTTCTCTCAGGAGGATCCAAACCCACCCTCAGAGGCCATGAGGCCACGCTGCATGACCTGCTGAGCAGCGAGGGGATACTTCAAGGGATGAGGTCGCACGTGTGCTTCCAGCTGCCATGGACATGGGGAAGGGCTGGGAGAAGAGCCAACTGACCTGACTGCGTTGAAGTTGGGGACTCCGAGTCTCAGAACGGGGCATGGCTTTCTGACATCACACGGGACAGAGGAAGAGCCAGTCTGGAATCTGATGTATCTGGACAGGTCCTCGTAAGGCATCAAATGCCCATAGTCGGATCCTGTCGGTCTGTGCTGGCCCATGGACAGGGCTCGGGTCCCCCAGGAGCCTCTAGTCTGGGAGAGAAATAGCCAGACATAAATACTTCCAGTCTCGTGGGACCAGAGGAAGAGCCCCAGGGCTGGGAGAGTCCCAACAGGAGCAGAGAAGGCTTCCCGGAGCAAAGGGCCTTCTAGCTGAGGCCTTGGCCTATGAATGAATGACGACAGCTCAGCAGGCAGACAAACAAAGAGGAAGAAGAAGTCGGAGAAGGTCAGAGCTGAGTGATGTTTGGAGATCACCCCCTTTGGGGCTCAGAGGGCAAGTGCCTCAGTTGAGGCCACACAGCAAGGTCGGGCAGGCGAGAGGGCCCAGGAACGGGGCATTCAGGGATGCAAGTCATTGAAGCTTTTGTGGGACCTGTGGGTGGCAGGGGCATCTGCGCCAGCCTTTGAAAGCCAGAGAGAGATTGCTGGCCCAGGCTGGGACTGCCTGGGGGCTCCTCCAAGTACACCAGGACATGAGACCTCGTCTGCATATTGTATAACCCAGGAAACCCAGTTCAGGACATTCAGCCAGGCCCTGGGGACAGAGGTCAGCCTGGGGTAACAGCAGGCCCAGTGCAGCTCTGGAAACCTGGAGGGAGGGAGGGACAAAGTATGAGGGGGCAGCCGGACCAGCCCCCCGGGTTGTAGAGTCTCAGCCCTGGCTGGGGCAGGGCCCCTGCCTGGGACTCAACATTTCTGATCAGCCTTAAATTGTTCTCTTTTTTACAGTTGTTGGTTTTTTTGTTTGTTTGTTTGTTTGTTTTTTAAATGAAAGTGTGGGGAAAGAGACGGCTTATTGGTTTATTTCCCACAGCTGCCAAAGAAGCTGAGTGGCTTTGACCTCCATCTTGGGTCAGAATCTCCGGGACTGAAGGCCAGGCCGAGGAGGGGTTGAGGGGCCCATTGTCCAGCAGGAGAAACTGAGGCTCAGGGACACATAGGGAGGCTGAGCTCAGGTTGGAGCAGGACCCCATTTCCCCTTCCCTAGTGTAGTCGCGGAGGCTTGGAAGCATGAATTGGGGGAAGGCTTTTGTTTTCAAGACACAGTTCATATACTGGGAAATGAGCAGGGTTTTTTTGTTTTTGTTTTTTATTTTTTTAATGTTTTATTTATTTATTCATGAGAGTCAGAGAGAGGCAGAGGTAGAGGAAGAGGGAGAAGCAGGCTCCCCCCTGAGCAGGGAGCCCGATGCGGGACTCGATCCCAGGACCGTGGGGTCACGACCTGAGCCGAAGGCAGACGCTTAACCATCTGAGCCACCCAGGCGCCCCTTGTTTTGTTTTTTAAAGATGTTATTTGACAGAGAGAGAGACACAGAGAGGGAACACAAGCAGGGGGAGTGGGAGAGGGAGAAGCAGGCTTCCCACTGAGCAGGGAGCCCGATGCGGGGCTCGATCCCAGGACCCAGGGATCATGACCTGAGCCGAAGGCAGATGCTTAACAACTGAGCCACCCAGGCGCCCTGGGAAATGAGCCGTTTTAAAGTGTACAGTTAGGTGGCATTTCGTGCACTGACAGTGTCAGGCACCTGTCACCTCATCTAGCTCCAGGACATTCCCATCACCCCAGAGGAGGCCCCGTTCCCAGGAGCGGTCACTGCCCACCCCCTTCCCTCACTCCCAGCACCCACTGATCTGGGGATTTGCCTGTTCTGGACATTTCCTATACATGGGATCACGTTCCGTGTGGCCTCACTCGTGTTTGGCTTCCTCCTCAGCTTAAATTTCTCTGGTAAGTTTCATCCACATGGTAGCCTGTCTCAATGTTTCATTCCTAATCTTTATGGCCAAATAATATCCTGTTGTGTGGATGGACTCCCATTTTGATTGTCCCTTTACCCCCTGATAGACGTTTGGGTCATTCCCACCTTTCGGGGATTGTGGTTAGGGCTGCCGTGGACGTGGGTGTCCAAGGATTTGTTTGAATACGCACTGGGCTTCCAGGCAGCCCTGGCGGCACGCAAGTTGAGTCTTTGGGCATTGAAAGTAGGGAAAGTGAATCCGACAGAGTGAGGTGACTCGTGCAGGGTCCGGGGTCGCCACTCAGAACCCCCACGCCTCAGTGATAAGCGGCACCCGTGGTGGTGGTCCCTGCAGGGTCTGCGCTCAGGCCCCGCCCCAGGCCCGAGGCCCCGCCCTCAGCAGGGCGGGGCCAAGTTAGAACTCCGTCCAATAGCTCTCGCTGGGCTCACAGTTTGCCCAAGGCAGTGAAAATTCAGTGTTGGTCTGGGATGACGAGTGGCAGGGCTGAGGGGCAGAGAACAGGATGGGGGTGGAGGGGCGGGGTTGGACACTGGCAGGTATGACCACCAGCAAGTCGCTTGCTTCTGAGCCAGTTTCCTCATCTGGGACTCTGGGGCACCTCTCCACCACCGCCTCAACTGCCTCCCATCTCTGGTCTGAATTTGGGTCCTGATTTCCACCTGCTTCTGGTCCTGGGGTTTACCCAGCCCTCCCTGTCCAGCAGCATCTGCCCTGGGCAGTTGGCCTGGCATCAAGTTCGGAGCCTGTCAAGACTGAGGGTTCCTTTGGGCCCAGCAGAGGGGAGATACACCCACACAGCACAGTCACCCCAGACCCCCTCTTGGTCTCAGAAAGAGGTAAGATCCCTGTCGCCCTGGGTGTGCAGGACACAAGATCCCAGCTTCCAGATCCGTGTTCCCAAACGGAGAAGAGTCTAAGCTGTCTATTGCAACAACAGATGGGGGTACAGTTTTACGAAAGGCTTCCCCCCAGTAGGCTTGGGGGGATAAGCCACCTCGTGTCCCCAGGACTCCTGGGTCTGCAACTATCTGGAAGCTGATCCCTAGAAGAGGTGGATTATCTGGTTCGGATAAATAAAAACCAGAATGGAGCCGTCTTGGGTCGTCCAGAATTCAGGGAACTCCCCGAACACAGAGTGAGGCCCACAGGGTAGAGAGGAGGGTGGCCAAATATTCTCCTAAAATAAAATCCCACCCCTCTCTAGGCCCCTAAGATCTCTCACCCACCTCTCCTTCCAGCTTCCCCTGGATCTTGACTGCCACTCAGATATCCCAAGCTGGGTCCTACCTCAGGACCTTTGTACATGTGGCTCCCTCTGCTGAAAGACCCTTCTCTACCTCCTAGCCTCATCTTTTCAGGAAACACCCCAACCTCCTGGCTAAAGGTGCCCCTCCCTGTTACTCCTTCTCCCATCCCCCTGTCCTATTGTCTTCATAGCCCTGATCACTCTCTGAAATTTTTTATTTAGATATTCACTTGTTTGAAGCTTTGAGGGCAGGGCTGGGGCAGGGCTGGCCCCAGCACACAGCAGGCATGAGAGGCATGAAGGGGCGTTGTTGACTGGAGGAGACCCCCCGGACTCTGGTGTGGACCAAGATTCTGATGGGGGTGGGGATGTTACCGCCTTACATTGTTCCCAGGACCCCCTAGAATCAGAACTTGTCACCCGTTCGGAGAGTCCAACACCAGGTCTCTCTCTGTCTCTGCCTCACCCTCCTTATCCCCCCAACTCTTCCTCTCCATGTTGTTTTCACACTGTCCCTTTTGCTCGATGTTTCTGTCACTCTCTCATTGTCTCTGTCTCCCCCGTCTCTGTCCCTGGCTCACCATCTCTGCATCTCTCTCTCTCACTCATTACTTCGTCGCTGCCTCTGGATTATCTCTCAGTCTCTCTCAGTCTCTGACTCCTTGAGCATCTCTGTCTCCTTCCCTGGCCTGGCCAGGCCCCTGGGCCATGGGGTGACAGGCAGGCAGGGCGCCCTCCGCTTGTTTTCCGCCCTCGCTGGCAGGGGGCCCAGCTGGGATGCTGTTCAGGAATCCTCCAGCTGCCCGGCTCCAGCCACCAGGCACAGCCGCTGGCCTCTCCTCCCAGCACATTCTGTCCCGAGCAGGGAGCCCTGGGGGTGGGTGGGGTGGGAGTGGAGGGTTCCTGTCCGGCTCCAGTTACAGGACAGCCCGTCCTGGTGGCCTTGCTCCCCACCACTGCTGCCCCCTGATGCCTCCCCTCCCTACTTTGGGCTTAGATCTTCCTGAATGGGGCCCCTCTGCCAGCTCATCCCTACCTCAGGGGCTTTGCACTTGCTGTGCCTTCTGCCTGGAGCTCCCTCTCCCCAGGTATGCCCAGGACCTTCTCCCTGGCAGGCTTCAGATCACAAATCACCTCCTCAGGACGTCCTCCCTGTCTCTGGGCCAGAACGCCCCGCCATTCCCCTACTCCTGTCCTGATGCCTTTTGCTTCCTGATCTTTCCCCTTCCTCGGAGTTCTATATTTACTTGTTTGTTGGCAGGGTGTCTGTTACCCCAGAGCCCTGCTGTATCCCCAGCACTGGGCACGCACTAGGTGCTCAGTGAATATTTTAGAGTTCATACCATTTCATCCCAAAGCTCAGCTCTGCCTTAGCCACCCAGGCTCCCACGCACAGCTCCCATCCCTTCCAACAGCTGACCAACCCCCGGCCCTGCCCCCTCCTAACCCTGCGGCCCCTGCCGTCCCCCGCACACACCTCCTGCCGTGGTCCCCTGCGCCCCCAACACACCAGCCATATCCCAGCCCTCCCATCTGTTCCCAGAGGGTTCCCTCCCCTAGATGCACCTTTTCCAGTGAGGGGCTTGGTCTCTCTTTTAGGCCCACTGGGCTCCACACGGGGGCTGCTCCACGCGCGCGCACACACACACACACACACACACACACACACACACGGAGACACAGAAATGGGCCTGCGAACTCGGGGGCACACAGCCCAGACCTCGATGAGCACGGACCCACATGCACGTGCGTGCACACGCGCGTAAAGCCGGCCAACAGGTGCAACAGTACTGACCACGCTGGGCGCCCGCGGCCCTGGGTGAGGGCTTGCAGGGTGTTCACGTGTGGAGTCCCCCAACTCGCAAGGGAAGCAGGCAAGATGCCCTCATCTCACAGGTGGGTGCAGGACCGGGGCTTTGAACCCACGCCAGGGTGTGCACAGCCTTGTCCGCGTGCGCGCGCACCTCCACCCTCACTTCCCCCACCTCATTTCTGATGTTCAAGGCCAGGAAAGTCCCCAGAAAGCATCAGGCCGGGCAAGGGGCCCAGGAGGAAGAAGTGACTCAGCCAGTGGCCATCAGGGCCTGCCTCGCTGGGAGACCCTCGGGGCTGGGGGGTTGGCGGGTTGGGGGATTCACAGAGAGCAACAATAAAGGACTGGGGCGGGGCGGGGACAGGGCAAACAGGGCCTGCCGAGCAGAGTTGGGGAGGGGAGGGATGGGGCATGCCTCAGTGGGTCCCCAGTGCTCCAATACCGCCCCTCTGCTGAGCCCGATTCATAGGTGGGGAAACTGAGGCATAGAGAAGTGGTGACTTGCCCAAGGCCCTCCAGCCAGGATGGGGCAGGCAGAGGACCCCTTAGTCCTTGGTCACAGTTTTTTGCGGTTTTGGAGATATTCTCCCTGCTTGCCTTTCGGGGGGCAGATGGAGCCAGGTCGTGGCTCCGGGTGTGGACACGTGACCAGGTCTGGCCAGGTAGAGCCTTTTGTGACCACAGACTCAGGCATTGGTTCAATAATAGGCATGTGACTCTGAGTGGGCCAATCACCCCAGGAGTTTGGGGGCTCCTGGAGGTGAGAATAAGAGCCATCTTTGCTACCCCAAGGAGGGGCAGAACCGAGAGTCCCAAGGTCATTGTGGTGAAATCCACAGACACCCCTAGGCCTGTGGAGTGAGGGTGGAGCCAGAGGGAAGGACGAGGGCCGGAGGGCCCTGGGAGGGCTTCCAGGAGGAGAGGACACTGGAGTTGGGGTTTTGATGGATGAAGAGGAGTTCACCA